CACAAGTTCAGGTTCAGTTTTAGGAAATTGCATATTAACGATACGAATGTTGATAGATTTTCACATGATGTGTAAATAAAATAGGTAGAGATCGTTACGACCAAAGACTTTAATTTATAGACTAAGCTAGTCGAAGTAAAGCATTGATCTACTGATTCGGTAAGAGTTTACTTTGATGCTGTTACAAGACCCAATAAACATTTTTCTTTAGTCAATAATCCTCTCAAGAGGGCTAAAGTAGAGATTTTTGTTAATATAAAACTTCGACCTTCAAACCTTCCTAAATATCTCAGCAAATGTGAGAGTGCAAAAATGGTCAATTGTTTAAAAACCGCTCGTAGCTTTAGGTTCGTACCTAGAGAACGTGTAGTACTTGAATTTCGCAGTAAATTCAAAGTAACAAACACGTTAAAAATATCAAATATTTGAAATTTCAACCATATCTTCTAAAAGAAGAAAACTTCTACTGATACTTCTATTCATTCAAGCGCTTAGTACCTTATTAATATATTTTATTACTCTTCACGTTGTTGAAATACCATACACTAAATTTTCCATTGAATAATAAATTCGAATCGTGTTAAATTATTGAGAGTTAAATTTAGAATTATTGTGGGTTAAGTTATTAATTAAATAGAAAATGTCACAAGGAGTTAAAATTGTTTCTATCGTTTTTGGTACCATATCGTCACATAAGGTACACAATAATTACACCTTTGAAACAAAATAATTAAAAAAGAATAACGGAAAACAATAACTCGTAGCAAACCAATAGAGCGACAGACTTCTTGTTTCCATCGATGGATAGAGCAGTAAAGTAGCGATTTTTTTAAATATAAATCATCGATTTTCAAATGTTTCCAACTAACTCAGGATGTATTTTGGGTTATAAAACCCCCTGAGGGTTTTTTATTTGCTTTTTTTTTTATTTTGGTTGTTTTACAAATTTTTCGTATTACAATATTTTAGTGATTATTTGTTACATGTGTTCAAAATTTCACTTGTAACTTCACGTCTTTCAAAAATTTCTTAAATCCGCCAAGCGCCCCAATGTGGCAACGTTGGGAGGCGCGAACATGCCGCCCGCCTTGAAAGCCAAAAGGTTTCAAACATCCGTCCGTGGCAATGTACAGAGGTTGGTGACTGGGCGCTTCAGAGTGGACGACGCTGTCTTGATAGTGGCTGTACGTATTACCCCATCGGCACCGGGGAGGACCTCTTGAACAACTCCCATCATCCATTTAAGTGGTGGTAGTCCATCTTCCTTTATCAGCACTAGGGATGCAGGAGATAATAAGTTGACTGCATTCCTTTTCCATTTTGTTCGTTGTTGAAGCTCAGCAACATATTCCTTGGACCAGCGAGACCAAAAGCCTTGAGTTATCTTGAGTCTATTTTCTGGGATTTGGCAATAGTCGTTATCTGGCAAATTTGTAAGGCCCATTTTCATCAAGCGATCTTAAACCAGTTTAACGTCTGAAACTCAGTTTGACGCGCGAAACGGATTTCACCAGAACCTTAAACTTAGTTTGTGCTTAAACGCGTTTAAAGAAACGAACTGGCCGATTTTGGCTTGGTTTAAAGCTATAAACGCCGTTTAAAAACTTGATCTAACCTCACTGTGTAAAGAATTGTTGTTGTCGGTCGACCGAAAAATGATAAAATAGAAATGGCACGTAGGCCAGTTTATCACTTAATTTTCGAAGAAGTCTACGAATATTTTAATGTTATTTATGTACTTTGTCTGTCCTGTCTGTAATTGTGTCGCCGATAAGCCAACTTCTCGGTGCTTTGCGGTTTTATGTCACAGAATGCATGCAAATTTCTG